CAAGATGGGACAAAGTTAGTAGTTGTTTCAGAGCGACGCTGTCATACGGTCGGTCAGATCTCTCACCCCCCCTTCTATCCGCGATGTAGGGCATCCGTGACGCCCATGGTCCGACTGTCTTCGTCCGTGGTTTACCTCTACCTTCTTGGAGTTACCATCTAGACCTGCCTCTGTCTCTTGCTGTCCCAGTGCGGGAATCCCATCACGCACCCACTACCACGACTGCCCAGTACATTCCACCTCGGGATTACTACAGAACCCGTTAAAGTCGACAGGATGACTGAGGACAACGACATGCAGAGGATGACGGAGGCCGAAGACGAGTACTTCGCGGATGCCCTCACCAACATGCAACCCCACTGCGACGAACTAGTAGGCCGCCTGGCAGACGCCATGCGGGGACAAGCCGTGCCTCGTGCGGACGAGGCCATTATCTCCTCTTTCGACGGATCACACGCAACAAGCAGCCTTCTTCCAAACAGCCATCTACAGAGATCAACTCCAGCCAGCATCAGCCATTTCAAGGTACTTTAAACTTTGTTTCTCTCATTTCCCCCATAAATGTTATTCTTATATTTTCACCTTAAGCATTTTAAAATCAATTATAACCTTTTTTATATCATTTTTATTCAATTTTTAAAACTTTCATACTCTCATTTATCACTTTTACTTTATTTTAATCAAATTATAAATTTTAATTCATCATTTTCAATTTTAGTATTAAAAATATTCAATCACGCATTTTTGCCAATTTATTAATCTTACATACCTTTCTTAAATTCACCTAAAATGGCATTATCCAAATATGCAACTTTTTCAATATTACATAAAAAATCATATTATATTTTAATTACTCGAATCATATTTTCTAAACTTATTTGTATGTTTTTTAATACCTTATTTATGGCCATAGTATTAATATTTAAATTTATTACGCTCTTTATTTTAATTGACCTATTACTATTCAAATTGATATTTCTCAATATTTAAGAGTTTTAAAAACTAGTCCTAGATTTGTATTTTTATAAATATCAATTTTAAATTATCTCATCTCATAATGTGCCTCCCATTTTTCCCACAATTGCAAATACAACTATAAATGTAATTTTTGAAAACTAAATATCATACCATAAAATTTCCATATCCCATTGCATTTCATTCCTGCCTGTGTTAAATTGTTATTTACGTATTACATACATTTTTATTTCGCACTTCCTACATTGTTCACATCAATTTTAATTCCTCTCGCCTATCCCATATCCCATTAACACATTTCGCATAATCATAACACATCTATTTATACACTAGTTAATTAATTAATTCTTTTATAGCCTACCTTTTCCCAATTATTCACACCCACGATTTCAATATTACAGATTAAATTTAATATCCTTCTAACAGAGGAACCTGCCAGATTAAACGGATAGGAAAATTATATAAAAATCCTTTTATAGCAAATCTTATTTTTATAATGTTATAGGATAGTTTATAATTTTGTCAACCCCGTTTAAAAATTAGGTCCCCACCATCTCTAAAAATCGATCCTGTACATGACACCATATGAGACGTCATCTTGGCCTACATTAAAGAACAATTAATTCCAATCTTCATCCCAACGACAAACAAATCAAGGACGCACTGATCTCCCCCTAATTGTTTTTTTTTTCTACTTCGTCTTTCCCTCCCTACTTCTAAAGGGGTGGAATGACCTTGTACTCACCATTAGCAGATAGCCCTTCCTACTTCAACACTCTTACCTGTCAATCATTCAATTATAAGCCTTCCATACTTCTCTCGTCTCTTGATCATTTTCCATTGGCCTTCTATGCCTTCGTTCTAACCACCCCTCGTCCATCGCAGAGTTCCTGTTTGCCGACTTTTTTTTATTTACACCCAGGTCGTCGTCCCAGCATTCTTTATTTCATTCTTTTTTCCTCAAACCCGGGTTCAATCAACCAATGGCAACAGTCGAGCCCTGTTTTCACAATCTACCTCCACCCTCTAACCTCTTCAACGGTTCCTGAGACTCCTGCTCGTCAACCTTTTTTAATTTTTATTTTTTAATGATTCATCGACCTGGTACACTCTTCCTCCCCATGTTAACCTCACACGGAGAGCTTGGGTAACCAGCGAGACTTTTTTTTTCTCTAACGCTCGACCCAGGCCATCATCAGCACGATGCGCCCACTCATTTTTCGTTTAATTTTATTTTTCATCTGGTCGAGCTCAATCACCGACAGCAGCGCAGCTCTTGAGACACCATCTCTTTTTAACCTCCCTCCGAAAAATATTCTTTTCCATATTATCCCATTACCTACCTCTCCTTCGATCTTCACGCCTTTTGCCCATATGATCTAATGCTACTTACAGAGCATCTTGAGATTGCTGAACCCTGAAAACAATACTTCGCTTCTAAGCTCGTATTGCAGGGCAGGACTCCTGAGATGTCCTTTGCAGAAACCAATTCAGACCTTCTTCCTTTATTCCTCACTGCGTCACTACCTATCGCAAACCTTGTGCTTAAGTCAAATTTCTTTTATATTTTATTTTACTTTTATTATCTCTACTTCTCCTCCTTCCTGTATTACATCCCTGAAACTATGTTGTAAATATTCAAGGCACCTTAAGTAACAAAAAACTGTAACTAGTATACCAACTTTCCCAAATATTTACTTTCGCTATTGTGTGTGTTTACTTTAAATTTATCCTTCCTATGTACTCCTCTTATATATTTTTTATAGTTTTATAATATTATTTCAGTGTGTCACCACTACTCCCCTTTATCTTTATTTTTATTATAGTAACTAATTTGTGCCCCAAATTATTTCCCATTTAATAGGTTTGCTAGCTTTTCTCTCATTTATTTGTAAATAGACTTATAGTTTTACTAGTTTTGTGATGTTGGACTTTGTTTTTTAACTTACAGATGTAGATAAAACATTTCAATATTAATCGATAATATCATTTTGTTCATTAATGCCATCAACTACCAATCAATCCTTTATATAATATTACCTTTAATATGTTTATTTAATTTTAATTTTCTTTTTCTCATCATGTTTAGACTTAGCATTTTACAACTTCAACTATTTTAGGCACCATTTTAAAAAACCTACACCTAACAATATTTATAATATTTCTTGAACAGATAAAACATTTATCATTTTATTTTTCTTTGTAGATTTCAAAATGTTATTTTTGACGCTTCCCTTACAACCTCTTAACTCTATCCCATGAACCTTTCCTTCCAACTTATTACACCCATCAAGAGATTATTGTTCGTCAGCCATTTTCTTTTTTTTTTTATTGATTAACCTAACTAGAAGACCCTTCCTCGCTGTACATTTCCCAACAGTGAGCTCAGGAGACCCAGTTAGTTTTTTATTTTTTTTCTCTCATCGTCCGGCTCATCATTTTTTCATTTTTCAACTTTTTCTTTTCACCACACAAGCCGGACACAATCAAAATTGACAACAATAATTCTCTTACACCCACCTCTCCTTTTCCGCATCCTTCAAACCTCCAACCTTCCAAGGGATTCCAGTTCGCCGAACATTTTTGTTTTTTTTCATTGATTAATCCGACTGGAACAATCCTTCCTCACTATACCATTCCCGATAGTGAGTTCAGGATATCCAGCGCGATCTTTTTATTTTTTTTTTCTCATCGCCCGACTCATCATATCAATTCACCATTTTTCAACTTTTCACTTTTTTTTCACAACTCAACCGGGCACAATCATTATGGACAACAGGGATCCCTCTTACCTCTACCTCCCCCTTTTACCTCCATCAATCTTCCCACCTCTTTCCGCTGTCTGAGCTAATGATGCAGACGGAATATCTTAGGCCTTCTGTTAATGAAAACAATGCCTCACTTAAACAAGTTCGCATTGCATTGCAGGATGCTTGGGATACTACTTTTGCAGAAACATGCTCAGATACCCCCTTTCCCTTTTTCAACCTTAGCGTCACATTATAAGTTCAGTCAATAAACTAACTTCATTTTTTTTCTCTCATCTTTAATACAATAAGATATTATTTTCCTTGTACGATTCATTTTACCATAGTTACCATTTTGTATTATATACCTTCTCTTAATCTTTTATCATTCATTTTGTACGTTTTTATTGATACACCACCCTTACAACATCTTTCTCTTTTTAACTTGTAACTTCATAATAATTTTAACTAATTTGTATACAAATTATTTCTTTTATTTTTTATAATAGGTTTGTTAGGTTATCATTCATTACATGTCATTCCCCCAACCAAACCTTCATCACCGGGGACACATTCTGTAGTATATTTTGAGTAATATAGTTCACAGCCTTATTCTAATATTTGTTATAACACCATACCTATGTAAAAATATGTATCAAACTTGGAATAATGAAGTGACAAATAAAACAAAAGGAGTAGAGGTAGTCCAGACGACAAAGGCCAGACGTGATAAACAACCCAGACTAACAGGTGTTTATGCTAATGAGTTCATTCCCCCGTCAGCAGGTGGCCGAACAGGTGGCCAGACATAATTAATAACCCAGCGCTTGACAGGTGGCGTGATTACGGGAACCAATCAGAACTCGCCGCCATCTGCGAGCGTCCAATATATAAGGTCCCCCAAGATGGGACAAAGTTAGTAGTTGTTTCAGAGAGACGCTGTCATACGGTCGGTCAGATCTCTCACCCCCCCTTCTATCCGCGATGTAGGGCATCCGTGACGCCCATGGTCCGACTGTCTTCGTCCGTGGTCTACCTCTACCTTCTTGGAGTTACCATCTAGACCTGCCTCTGTCTCTTGCTGTCCCAGTGCGGGAATCCCATCACGCACCCACTACCACGACTGCCCAGTACATTCCACCTCGGGATTACTACATATATATATATGGCAATATAATAATAAGGTGGGGAAAGAGAAATAATCACACCACAAGTTGGAAGGTGAACCCAGACAACCAGCGAGAGAGGCGACCCGGCCACCGCTGAGCGGCCGGCCGTTCGTATCGCACACAATTCCCCAACTGTCTTAATTAGTCCTGAGGTTCCAAGTAACGGGGCCCCAGTTGTCGCCCCTTGGAATGTCGCTTCTGTCTCAAGTGACTGATCCTTACCCGCCCATCTCTCTCTGGGTTGACTGTAGGTTTGCTTTATTATTCCTGGAAGAGCATACATTATGACATATATGTAATATTGTTGCAATGTGCCGACGTATGGATGAACTGGCAGTCGTGTACGTGAGGCGAGTGTTGATGATCTTCCGACACGCGGACAACAAGAAGCAGAGGCAGGGCTAGATGTTAGCACAAAGAGGGATCGGGGACAGCCCACGGGACAGAGGTAGAGGCCATGACACCAACTTTGATGTTTATCACCGAGACATGGAGAGAAAAGACTGTGTGCAAGACAGACAGGCTGAAGCGAACTGCTGAAAAACACCCCCTAGAACATCTGCCGACACCCTGCCAAAACTTGTCCTGTTTTGGGGGGTCTCTATATGAATGTCCCTCGGGACCCCACATGGGCTGGGCGTTGCCTTTTTCCACCCCTCTGTCCCTGCTGCCACCAGCTGACCGCTCTCTCTTTATTTTGATGTCACCAATTTTAGTTTATATATAAAAAAAGGGTGTACAGGTTATATTAATAAAGATATAACATATATACAAAATATGGGGGTGGTATCAAATAGAAACGGTGTACATTTTAATACATTTTAAAATATACTATATATATCTTATATTAAAAAAAAGAGAGATTTGATTTTCTGCTTGTATATTTATGATCAATTCGGGGATTATGCTATGGAGTTATTTGTTGGTTCTTTTTAGTATTAAATGGTATTGGTGATGCAGTCGTGGCTAAAATCTTGAAAGTAAAATAATAAAAATAGTAAAGATTAGAAATTGCTTTAATTGAGCTAAGAAATATAAAAACATAATTTAATAAATGTATTGCCTGGCTTAAGGCGTAAGAATAAAAAAAATAAAAGCTTATTTACATAATGTACAAAAGTTTTGAGCCGACCAACGGGGAAGAACAACAATGAGTATTTATAGGGGAAGCGTGACTTCTGGCGGTCGATTTAGCAGTATTTGTATCTATGTAATATATTTTCAAATAAAATAATTAATAAATATTAATAAATATTTTTAAATATTTTATAATATTAATAATTAATAAATATTAAAAAATATAACATTTTAAATAAAATATTTTAATATAACATATATGTCATAATTTGTATATAATTAGATGTAACCCCACCACAATATGTATGCAATGTATGATCTAAATATTTTAATAAAGGTTAGGCCTAGCGAATCTGGAGAGAGAAAGGCCATCAGAGAGAAGAAACAATCATTAGCAGGTTTTCATTATCCAGGAAGCAAAAGTTATTACCCAGGAACTAATAAAACTGAGTTCAAGAACCTTTTTCTTCCGGGAGCATGTTAAAACATGATAAAGACAAAGGAATAGCTAAGATCCAATCAGAGTCCAGCAGGACTAGCTAAGAGCCAATCAGAGACCGCCACGACTCGAGAATGATCCAATGAGAGCATTGGAGAGTTAACGAGTTAATTCTCGGACTCAAGTTAGTTAGTTAGTACCTGGACCTGCCAAGGAACAAGTTAGGAACTTGGCACCATCGCAACAAGTTGGAGCTCGCCACCATCTTTCTCAGCACCCAGATAAGTCCAATGTTCAATATGTGAACAGCCTAGCCTTAGTCAAATACGCCAATAGTCTAAACCTTCTCTCCCTTGATCGCTGGCATATTTCTCAATCTAATCCTGTGTCCTGTCTCGTTATTTTCCCCTGTGAGAATACTTTACCATTTCAGCCAAAACGACTGCGCCCACATCAACCACCAAGTAAGCCAACAGGGACTTACTGCTTACGACAACCATCAATCACTCAACAAACAACCAATCACTAAACCAATCACCCCAAAAGTCCCGGTTATTTTATATATATACTAGCGAACCCGGCCACGCGTTGCTGTGGCTATATTTAAATATGTTAAATTAACATTATACTAAACTATTCAGTACAGTAAAGTTAATATTCACTTATAAAGATAAAAATGTTTTAGCCGAGCTAAAGCCCTACGGGATTGAGAATGGAACGTTACGTTAAAATTTGAAAGTGATTTTTATATATATAGATAATATAGCCCTTTATTGTAATCATTGATTATATTCACTGCATTAATAAATGTCAGTGAACCTGTTTTTTTATTTTTGAATTAAATGATCTAGCCGAACCCGGGCAGACGTTGCCCTGCCTCTACGCACCTCTCTATATATAAAAATGGATGCCTGTATGTGTTTGTAATCAAGAATCTAGCATGTGCTGGGGAAAAATTAAAGATGAGTCATAAAGAATTGATGAAAAAATATATAGATTTTATTAATAGCAATATTTGAATGAATATTGTATCATATGAAAACTAATCTATCGTAACGCGAGTGGATACACAATATTTTTGGTCCTCTCGTTTGGTGCGTAGATATATAGATTTTTTGGCGTTCCAACTCGGGAGCAAGCGACGTAGAGTTGACCATGTGAAAAACATGGATTTCCTAAATGCAAACCGTCAACTCGCAGCGACTGTCCTTGGGATTTGTTGATTGTCATTGCGAAAGCGAGACGCACGGGAAACTGAAGTCGCTTGAATGTGAAGGGCAAATCAGTGGGGATCATTGGAATGCGCGGAATGAGCACATCCTCTCCTTTACATTTGCCACTGATTATCGTCGTTTCAATCACATTCGGCATCAACCTTTTTACGGAAAGTCTGGTTCCGTTGCACAACTTGGGTGTGTTGAGATTCCGAAGAAGCAATATTGGCGAGCCAACTTTCAACGACAATACATGCGGTGGCATTCCAGGAGGCTCCAATGAATTGAGAAATTCGACTGGATAATTGACAGCTTGGTCCTCTTCTGTGACTGTGTCAATAGATTTGTATTGCGTGACCGCTCCAGGAATTTTCAATTGTATCTTATGATTGATGCGATTGACGTCATCATTCTTCGGAGCTAAGATAGCTCGCTCGCAAAGCCAGTCGTGATTCTTGTAATTAGTGGCAATATCCGGGAAACTACCTTTTCAAGATCTCCAATTGACGCCTGAAGTTGACAGAAGTTCGGTGGGAACGATATCTCGTGTGTTGCAGGATCAACCGGAATTTTGCCGTCGCCCATATTCAAAAGCTGCTTGGCAAATGTTTGTGCAGAAACATCTCCATGTAAATGCACACGCATATTGGTCGACAGTGTAATTTTCTTCATATGTCTCCAGAGAGCCGAATTCTTCAAGCATGCGTTCAGCTCATCTGCTGGTGTTGCTCTTGGAATGACAGGCAAGATTTGACGGAAATCACCAGCGAGCAGTATCAGAGCTCCACCCATTAGGCGTTGATTGCCTCGGAAATCGCGAAGAGTACGATCAAGTGCCTCAAGCGCTTTCTTGTGAGCCATCGTACATTCATCCCAAATGATGATTTGGCACGTTTTCAACACAGTGGCCATTCCTGATGTTTTTCCGATGTTGCAGAGAGGAACGTCGGCTATATTCAAATTCAATGGCAGCTTGAATGCCGAATGCGCCGTACGTCCTCCATCGAGCAGTGTTGCCGCAATTCCCGACGATGCCACAGCCAGAGCAATCTCATGTTTCATACGAATTTCGGCGAGAATCAAATTGAGCAAAAATGTTTTCCCAGTTCCTCCTGGGGCATCAAGGAACAGAAGACCACCATTTCCGGTTCGCACATGCTCAGTGACTGTGTTGTACGCAAGGTTTTGTTCGTTTGTTAAGAGTCTTTTCTGAGTCTCAACATAAACTTGCAGCGTATCAGCGTCGTATTGCATTTCTCGCAACATATCTCTGTCGACAGCATCATTTCTGCCACGCTCGGGTGAGATCAAGCCAAGCTGATTGAGGATTTTGTTGTTGATCGACAAACATATATCCTCAAGTGATATCAGCGCTTCATTGAAAATTTCATCCGAATTCTGCGCATTGGGGTTAGCACTACGTACACGGCGAAGTATGTCTTCGCTCATACTCTCTTTATGCTTCTCCCATAGGCCTTTTGGGTCTGAAGGCGAGCAGGTTGTCAAAATGATAGCAAACAGAGTTCGTATTTGCTTAGGATGACATGTTTCAGATGCTTCTGCCAGTGTGTTGTCCCAATGCTGATCATTTTCAAGCAGACCAAGCTTGAAGCATGCCTCTCTATATGTCTGACAGATTTGGCCGTTGACGGTTTTGATAGCTTCGAACGATTTCGGTCCTTTGACTACATGAAGCAGCATTCGCAAATAGTAGCATTCAGCATTGCTCGGATGGACAGTATACACTCGCCCCAATGCGCCAGTGGAAAACACCTGAACCATTGAAGAGTGCAGCATGCCTTTTTTTTCTCCGTTGCCACTTCTTCGTTGACTGATTCCATGTGTAATACGTCGGAACCTGATGATACAGCAATGTTGCAGCGAATGTGTCACTGGCACACAATTGAAAAAATGCAGTCAACGTTGTATTGGGTGGATTTTCAGCTCGCTGGGCCGCGCTCTCTTCTGTGAAGTATACTCGTTGACCATTTTCCAAATGCACACTGAGATGGACGACAGCAGGAGAGCGTTCGTGGATGTCAAAGCCAAGGATTCGCCATACAGCTTCATTGCTGCTGATATAACGTCCCATTTGAAACTGGTCGATTTCATTGACGGGTGCATTTGGATTTTGAAGTCCAAAAACTGCCATATCACTGCCCTTATTCACGTATTTACAAATGTATTTGATCGATTTGACAGAATTGCAAAACTCCACGTTGATATGCGCATCAAATGCTTTCGAGAGCAAAGGAGAGTAAGGCACAATCCACCGGTTATCAACCTCAAAATCAACGTGATTGAGTTTGATTGTTGCTGTGTGGCCACCATCCTCTGGTTTTCGTCGTCTGTACAGAGGATAACCGTCGCCACCAGTTTGTGTGTCATGCACCAGGTCTCTTGGATACTTTTTGGTGCATTTGCCATCCTTTATGCACGGTGAATGTGGGTTTTGCCATCCACACGGTCCGTGAATCATATATTTCTTGATAATCTGGTACAATTCAGGACTTCTTGTGGATCAGGCAGCTCAGCAGAAATGATATTATCGATTTGAGTTGGAAGAATCTTTTCCTCCAACCAAATCAAGATGTGAGCATGTGGAGTGCCTCTTTTTTGCCATTCGATGGAATACATCCAGCAGCGTGTTGGACCGTATATATGGTTCTTAACGATGAGATCAATAAAACATTTCAATTTCTGTTTGAAAACTCTCGTTGTGAGGTCATGCCGATGAGATGACTGTTGGCCAGGCAGAAGTAGAATTTTGATTTCGGCCCATGCTGGATTGCAAGTGAATGTGAGGAAAAGATCTGGACGTCCATATGTGCGAACATAAGTCATAGCATCCTGAGCATATTCATGCATATGTCTCGGACTTCCAGCGTACGAAGCTGGAAGTATGACCATTTGCCCAATGTTTGCAGCAGCAGCGGCTCCATCATTCGCGATTGCATCCCGCAAAAGTATGTATTGGTCAGCTCGAAGCTTTGACTGATTGAAGCGAATGTAGTTGAGACGTTCGCTTTCGACTTTGGCATACATGTCAACGATGAATTGTTGGAAAAGTTGGCGACACTTCAGGATGTGGTTGGATTCCTGGGCTCGAATCATGATGCGATATGCATAGAAGTCCATACAGCTGACTTTTTTCATTGTCACGGCGCCTGAGATAGGATGAACTTGATACAGTTCGAGATGATATCCGTCTTCACCGCGCGGAAAAATTATTGGATATTGAAGGGCGTCGTACGATCGGTGCGTTTCAGCAATACGTTGCTTGGTTCCATCTCGTCTGCAGATAACAATATCTCGTCGGGCGATCTCTGTACCGACAATCACAGCTGCTACCTCAGGAGCCATCGGAGCATTGAAGCGTCGTTCATGCTCATTCGTCGGCGTCTTGTCTGCCCTGATGATGACTTTCATATCATCCGCTCGCACATTCTCTACTGCGGATTTGAAGTCTCGGACCAAACAGTTGTGCTCGTGGAATAGCGTTTGTAATTCAGCGATGATTGCCCGCCTTGTTGCTTCACTGAATGCGCATCGTCGATCAATCTCCTCCTCCACGTTGTCCATGAAATAAATCTGCAAAAACCTCGGATCTTCATTGGATACTGGAAGAAGGGAACCAATCTGATGGTACACTTGCCCTTGCACTTTGAATGTGGGCTCGAAATTTCCAAAACGCTCAATATGCGTCGCTCCAAACGATGTCATTTGGAAGCATGAGTTGTACTTCCGAATATGCTGAAGGAAATGTTTCGACTCCCGAGTTGCTCCAGCTACGTATGTTAGAAGTGGCTGTGGCGGCTCAACCATCGGAGGCAAATTGACTTTCCCATTGGAGCAACACATCCCGGGCGTTTCCTTCTGAAACTTCAATGCATGACAGTGTAGACACAGTTTATCCATTGGACCAATGACCAAATCTTGATGCATTTTGTAATCGTATTGTTTATCGTAGTTGGACGCAGCTTTTTTTAGAGCGATCCTCGTTCGTGATCGAGCCTGGCGTGAGCGTTGTGCCTCATGTCGTGCATCTCGCTCTTCGGGTGTTTCAGCAGCCCTTGAAGTAGACGCTCTGACTCGATCGATTTCCCATCGTGTGTCTCGCTGTTCGGGTGTTGCAGCAGCTCTTGAAGTAGACGCTCTGACTCGATCAATTTCCATTCGTGTGTCTCGCTGTTCGGGTGTTGCAGCAGCCCTTGAAGTAGACGCTCTGATTCGTTCGATTTCCCGTCGTGTGTCCCGCTGTTCGGGTGTTGCAGCAGCTCTTGAAGTAGACGCTCTGACTCGATCAATTTCCCGTCGTGTGTCACGCTGTTTGGGTGTTGCAGCAGCTCTTGAAGTAGACGCTCTGACTCGATCAATTTCCCGTCGTGTGTCTCGCTGTTCGGGTTTTGCAGCAGCTCTTGAAGTAGACGCTCTGACTCGATCAATTTCCCGTCGTGTGGCTCGCTGTTCGGGTGTTGCAGCAGCTCTTGAAGTAGACGCTCTGACTCGATCAATTTCCATTCGTGTGTCTCGCTCTTCGGGTGTTGCAGCAGCTCTTGAAGTAGACGCTCTGATTCGTTCGATTTCCCGTCGTGTGTCTCGCTGTTCGGGTGTTGCAGCAGCTCTTGAGGTAGACGCTCTGACTCGATCAATTTCCCGTCGTGTGTCCCGCTGTTCGGGTCTTGCAGCAGCTCTTGAAGTAGACGCTCTGACTCGATCAATTTCCCGTCGTGTGTCTCGCTGTTCGGGTGTTGCAGCAGCTCTTGAAGTAGACGCTCTGACTCGATAAATTTCCCGTCGTGTGTCTCGCTCTTCGGGTGTTGCAGCAGCTCTTGAAGTAGACGCTCTGACTCGATCAATTTCCCGTCGTGTGTCTCGCTCTTCGGGTGTTGCAGCAGCTCTACTGGCTGACACTTGCCGCGCATTTCTGGTTGATCTTCCAATGTTGTTCTTTCTTCGTGGCATTTCAAAAACGTCTTACAATTCAACGTTTGGTGACAAATGAGTCATCCGAAGATAGAAGGCAATGACCTACAACGAAACAAAAATACATATTTTTACTATTCTATTCACATCTAGTGTAAGGGCGAGTAGATTAACAATATTTTCGGTTTGGTAATTTGGTATCTTAATGTAAAGAGGTCAAGAGGTGAACACAATTCCAATGTAACTGATATTAAATTTCAAACGCACTCAGAAATTAGTAATCGCTATTTGTTAATTTAATAATTTTGTAGGGAGAGAAACGCATAAAAGCCGAAAATAACAGTTCAGAGTGATTCTTTGAAAGGCCAGTAAAGGTTTCAAATGTTTACATTTATTCTTGGTAGCAGGTTAATCACATGTATGACATTTAGGACCTACTGTAACATAACATGGCAACTATCTTATTCTTTATATAATCTAGCCCTTCATTGTAAACATTGACTATTGATTATAGTCACTGCATTAATAAATGTCAGCGAACTTGTTTATATGTATTGTTTTTTGTTTTTGAGATATTCTAATAGAACGTTCTCACAATTTGTGTAAAATATTTATATATGCACAAACACATAATTTAAAAATATGTCTTAAAATTTGCTATAATAATTGTTATAAATATTATTTTAAAATAATTCGCCAGAAATTGTCCGGGTAGTATACTAAACAACTTCCCAAAGATTATAATCACTGCATTAATAAATGTTAGTGAACTTGTTTATATGTATTGTTTTTTGTTTTTGAGATATTCTAATAGAACGTTCCTATACAGCCTAGTGCGGTATATTTAGTATAAGAGCTTTAGAGAGTAGATAAGTAACTATACAGTAGATGGACTTGCCTTCAATGCCGCTCCAGGTAGATTCCCCCTCGGTTAATCCACACAGTCCCAGAGCCCACCTCCTCTAGCCAACTTGCCGCGTTTGTCGTCACCGCCCTTCTCTCTCACTCCCCCCCCCCGCTTCCTCCCACATTGGAATGTCGCCTGGACTTTGTCTACCCCCAGACACGCGGGCCATCCTCCCGCAGCTGGAATCAATCCACCTTTCCACAACTTCACCCTGGGACCTCTGCCTCTCTGATATCTTGTCATACAGAATAGAAATTTGGCTCAGTCAAAGACTGAGCCAGGGATGATATAGGCATGAACAAGCCCTTGCATCCCTTTATCTTGTCATACAGAATAGAAATTCGGCTCAATCACAGACTGAGCCAGGGATGATATAGGCTCAACAGCGGCCCTTGCATCCCAGGCTTTCGCTGAAATCTAGATCCACACAGCCAGAAGGAATGATGCATTCTCCATGCACCGAGCGGCCATTGGTAGGCCCCTCGCGCCCGCCATTATGGTCTGGCTCCATGGGGTTGACCATTCACCCACAGGCGTCACCGAGAGTTCATTGGCAAGGTTGCTGACCGAGCCCCCTCGTTCGGACTTAGAAAGACCCGTCCTACGCTCCAATAGGACTCCCCCCCCTTTAGCCCTCGTACCCTTATCCAGTACTCCCTGAATCTGCCGTCGAATCAAGGACCTCTGAGGTACGAGGTTTACACGGGGCACCAACGTGAAGGCGGGAGGGTGGTACTGCTGTGTGCACCCCTTGGTTTTTCAACACCAGGCCTAGCCCTGGTGCAATTTCCGCGCACGGCAAGGACGCTCCCAATGGCGCACACACAGAGCGAAGACCCAAGAGTTTCAAGACACGTGCGCCTCGCCTCAGACAACCAAGGACAGACGGCCAGCTTACAGCTTCACTGGACATCAGTTAGTGGCACCCCTACGGAGGACAACACGCAGAGACGCCTCTCCACTCACTCCTCTAGAGTGATTGTAGAGGACGGGGAAAACTTCTACCCCGTTGTCATACAGTGAGGAAAGAATTACCCATATTACACTGCCCCCCTTCCATTAATTCTTTTCGTCCCGAAAATAATTTAGAATATATATTACCCGCCGACAGCTTTTTTTTAAAGATGAGAAATGTACTCGAAATAAAATTTAGAATATTAATATAATCTAGCCCTTATTGTTTATGTTAATTTTTATTTTAAAATAATTTAGGGGCCATCCTCCCGCAGCTGGAATCCATCCACCTTTCCACAACTTCACCCTGGGACCTCTGCCCGCAGCTGGAATCCATCCACTTTTCCACAACTTCACCCTGGGACCTCTGCCTCTCTGATATCTTGTCATACAGATAAATTTATTTAGGCTCCATACAACGAAGACCAGGGATGATATAGACAGTAATGTCCTTGCATCCCGCACAAATCAGTAGCTAGAAGTATAAATAAATAGTAAAAGAGAAAACATATTAAAGCAGCAAGCTAAGAGGGGTATTGCTAAGTGAAGTTTTATATACAGAAGGCAAAGAGGTATCTAGAATTGAAGATAGGTAGTAAAGTGAAGATATACTGAACTGGCAAGTTAAGAGGGGTGTTGATGAAAGAAGTGAAATATATAAAGACAGCATGGAACAAAAAATAATAATAATAAAAGGGAGGTAGAAATCTATGGAGGGCTGTTAATTAATGGCTGCCTAACTATTGTGGTATATACAGAGTACAAATAACAAAGATATATAAGAGAGAGCAGCTATATAGGTATAGAGGATTTGTACATGTAAGGAGGATCTTATTCTAGGATGTATCAGGTAAACTAAACTAAACATGAAAGGTCTAGACAACTCCATGATAATGGGAGAGAATTTAATGTGGTTAATAGCAGTATATGTGGTAGCATAGTGGAAAACCATATTCCCAACAGGTGTATTCTTATTGAAAGTATGTATTTTAAATAGTATATGTAGAACCTAAAGCTGGAGGATGCTAGGTGATCATGCAGCATCAATGTGTAAACCTTTGTGTTTTGGTCATGTTTTTATGGTTTCCTGACGCAAATGCGTGAACTATCTATTATTAAAGGTCTATTATTTAAATTCTCATATACTGTGTCTTGAAGTATATGTATATGTTGAATATGGTCGATACAAAGACGCAGAATATGTAATATGCAAATCATGGGGTAGGCGGTTTCGATTCTTATCGAGTCATCAGAAACGGCTGCGTCATCATAACAAGTGACTTGTTATTTAATAAGTGCGTTTGAACTTTTTTTTTTTTTTAATGTCGAAATACTAAAACGTTTTAAAGATGTGTTATTTATATGTTTATAAAACGGTACACACGAACTATAGGGAATTTGAAAAAGAGAATTCAACTGTACCATAGTTATAAAACCGGAAAGAACGTGTCCTATTAATTCCGAATCTGGTTGAGTACATGGGAATTTATTAAATTGCACGTGAATACTCCTGATATATACATCTGGTATATTTGAAGGGGTTTAAATATTTTGCGGGATAGAGTAGGTTAATGATGATAAAGACGCAGATGGACCTTCCTTATATTACGATGAAAGTGTTCAATGATGAGTAGGGGGGTATAGATCCTTTGAGAATGCTACGGCGATTTCTGAGAAGGTTGTGAGAGCCTTCCTATGATCTGATAGTAGATGTGGTTTGTTTGGATTAGGCTTCTTAAGGCACCTTGGTCTGCTCGAGTCCAGAAGAGGACACGCTAAAAGGAAATGGTCAGAGTCAGGGTTCGCGTATCCGCACCTGCAGGGGGATGGGGTTTTTATTTTAAAGCGTTGAAAGTAGTTAGAGAAGGGGCCATGGCCTGTTAGGATGGAGTTAAGGGCGCTGGAAGAGTAGATCCTGTCCGCCCTGACGAATTTGATCCAATTGTACAGGGATCTACCCTTGAGGGAGGCATCCCAAGATGTTTGCCAATCTGAGATCGCTTTTTTGCGGGCGGAGTAATTAAACCATGATTTAGGGGTGGGGATAGGGACGTATGGGGCGGGATATTTAAATGCAAATCTAGCCAGGGAATCCGCCATTTCATTGCCCTCCAGTCCCACATGTGCCTTGACCCAGTGGAAAGAGACTGTTTTGCCCGAGTTAATAATATTATTAACAAGAATCTTATTTCTCATTACCGACCAGCTTTTAGTGTATGGACTAGCCAGTGATTCAAGGGAAGATAGGCTATCTGACGCTAACGTGATTGATTGGTGTGGTTGTTCTAAAAACCATTCAAGAGCCTTGAATATTGCCAAGCATTCTGCTTGAAAAACCGAATTTTCTTCTCTGAGAATGTACGATTTTTTCAGTAGAGGGATATTTCTGGAATATAGGCACCAACCAGCACCCACCCCATCATCAGACTTTGAGCCGTCAGTGTAGATGGTAAGAGATGATGAGTCTGGAATGGATTTATCATAGGTAATGAGGTGGACCTCTGCTGGATGGCAGTACCATTGTAGAGGGGGTAAGTCAACCTGTTCTGGGGTGGGATCTGTATCCATAGCAGAGCCTGGGCGTATTAATTCCGCCCTCTTGGATTCGAGCGTTAGGATATTGTTAATAGGTACCAGGCCTGATAGGACCAGTGCGGCGTCAGTACTAAGAGTGTTGTAGCCCCTGCATATAGCAAGAGCGAATGGTCTCTGCGCTGAGCTAAGGATCTTGTGCGTCAAGCTGTCGTTTTCCTGTCTCCACCAAACCGAGGCGGCATAGCAGATGATTCTTTCGAAGCCTGCTTTATAGAGTCTTTTTGTGACCAAAGGCGCCAGGCCGCGGTTCTCCCTCGTCAGTCTCCTCAATTCCATTCCCTTGGATAGAACCTTATCCCTTATGGATTTTGCGTGATCGACCCATGTTAGGTGTCTATTAAATGTTACCCCGAGGAATTTCAGGGTATTTTTAAAGAGAATACGGTTGCCGTCCATTCTTATAGCTGGATTTCTGACGCCTCCTTTTCCCGCACCTTTGTTTCGGCCTGCTGGAGCGACATATAAGGCAGCGCTTTTTTTCGGGGCGATATTTAGTTTTCTCGAGGTTATCCAGGTATGGAGGGTCTCCAGAGCTCTGTTGGTAATATTTTCGACCTTAACGCGGCTTGTGCTTGTGCAAATGAGAAGCAGGTCATCCGCATATGCTATTGTATGGACGTTTTCGTCTTTAAGGATACTAAAGATCGGGTCCATATATAGAATCCAGAACAGAGGGCCACTATTGCTGCCCTGTGGACAGCCTCTTGTGATTTGTAATGGGTCAATAAGACTCTGTGGGCTAGTGTCTGAGGATACCTTTCTGGAGCACAGGTAGCTGTGTATCATAGTCCTGAGATAAGGGGGGACTTCCTTTTCCTTTAGAGATTCTCTGATGATATCCCAAGAGGCGTTGTCAAACGCTCCTTCGATATCCATAGAGATGACTATCGAGTGGTTATTAGCCAACCTAGATTTGTGTAGGATGTCCTTAACTTTCCTAAGGGCCTCTTCACACGATTTACCCCACCTAAATCCAAACTGAGAGTCGTTTAGACGGTTCGTGACCTGTAGATGATATGTAATCCTGTTGACAATAATTTTGTCGAGGATTTTCCCAAATAAGTTCAGGAGGGTGATAGGTCTCAGGGAGGTTATGTCGCGAGGGTCTTTGTCTTTTTTCTGTAGAAATATCATGTGACCAATTTTCCAGGCTTGTGGGAAGTAACCCAGAAACAGGCAGGCGTTATATAGGTTATTAAGTATCACGGGGTGTTCGTCATTAAGGAATAGTATGGGGTTTCTCATAATACCGTCAGGCCCAGGGGCCTTTTTGTGACCCATTGTTCTGATGGCACTGGATATTTCCACCATGGAGATGAGGGGATAGTAGTGTCGCTGGCCTGAGTCTTGTAACTCAAAGGGTGTCGTATCTGTGTCAGATGTTGTGTCCAGATACTTTTGGGAGATAAAGTATGCAAAAGTTTCGTCAGCTGTTTTGGTTAATTCCCCGTTGGTTTTTCTAAAAGAGTGAAAGGTTGTTGGCCTAAGCTTCTTCCCACTGATGATATTGTATGGACCTGTAAACGGATTGGATGTTGTGATAGTTTCAAAATGTTTTTTGTAAAATGAATTTTTGGCCCTCCTGATTGCTTTTT